TGCTATCAGAAGCGATATCTTTTTTAGTAAGTAGCTTTTCAAAAAGAAAGAAAAAAAACTAAAAGAGAGAAAGAAAAAGCATCAATTATTTATAGATATATAATATATAGTTAAAAAAAGAAAAAGTTGTATAACATAATATTTACATAAATATAATATAAAGTCAAAAAATATTATGGAATAATTCATACATAATATAAAACTGCAGAAAAATGGATCATAATTCTGATTCATTTTATTTTACGTGCACTATACTGATTTATTATTACTCTGCGCTATTCGTATTATGTTCAAGGAATTTATCGAAGAATATCGCACCCTCGAGAGTGATCTCGATTGTTCGATTCCATCGATGGGCTCGATTGAGAATACGATGCAGAATTATGGCTATGGGTCTCCTGCGATATTCAAGAACCACCATGTTATGTATAATCGATTGATTGCGGACGAAATATTCGCGATTCAATGAGGCTGCGTGAATCGAATACTGTTGCCCTAGCCAGCACTGTATTCACGCAATCGTAATGTCGAAACTTGTCCTTTCGTGATTGTTAATCGAAATGGTCAGCAACGATAAATTTTCCATATTCATGAGTTTCGACTATTACATTATGCATCTATTGTTAATGTATCCACGATTCCGTCCGATCGGCTGATGCTAAAAGAGTAATTCAATCCCTTTCAACCCTAACATCAATCGACATCGTGTCTATTATATATTTCATGTAGGTATTCCCAAATGGCACAATAGCGCTTGCAAAGCGCTAAAAAAATCATTACGTGCGTTTTTTTTAGCGCATTGTTAACGCTTTGTAAGCGCTTTGTGCTACTTAGGTCTGTACAAAAAATTAGCAAATAATACATAAATAAATTTCTATTTCATTAAAATTAGATTGAAATAAAATGTAAACATATCTAGCTATTGTAAACGTATGATATAATATAATATCTATTATATTTTAGATATTACTACAAATTGTATAAATTTTCGATATTTGTATCGAGAGTGTTTCAAGCAGGGGAGAGTAGAAGAATTGTGAACACGGGATAAATGTGGATAATACTTTGCAATACATTAGTAATAACCTCTCATTTCTCGTATTCAGTAATAATCCGATATATGCTTAGTGTCGTACTATACATATGACTATAGAACGCTGTAAGATAAATATTATTACAAATTTTCGATGATTTGATGTAGGGGAGAATGGGATAATTTTGCGAATATTTCAGGGAAAATTTAAATATAGCCGGCAATTATTTATTAATTATTGTAGAAATTTTATTGACTTTAAACTAATAATTAACATTCGTATACTACAAATTAATATAAACTATATAAATTATATATATATATATTATATATATAAAGATTTTTATTAATTGATAATTGCTACTTTTATTTAACTTTTCCCTTAAATGTTCCCACAATTCTCTCATTTTTCTCCATTCAAATAGTAAATTTGACGAATGCAAAATACATAAAATCTTATTTTGAAATATCGATGCTACAGGCAATCAACTATCTAAAACGCAAATAAAAAACTAGAGAAACAAATTCGTTAGATTCAGGTGTGATCCGATATACACTGCCAGTACACTGGCAGTACTGAAAAATTGTTCTGCTATTACTACGCAGCGCGCTGCGACAGCATCTAGTTCCCTCAATAACGTCATAAATGATAGCCATATTGCAACTGCGACTACTGCAGCTTTCAAGGTGAGGCAGTTACAGTGCAATATGGTGCCGCTTAAAAAAGTACAACGCGTCGAAATATTCGATTCAGGAAATAAAAAAATATATACATTATATTTGATTGGAGAAGACATATATTCATTTTATTATCGAAAATGATTTTTAAATTCCACATCTGAATATTCATTAACTGATGTGTCCATACAGTTTTTAACATAAGGTCAAACTGCTTGAATTGGTAATTCCCATAATTAGTTCATCTTCTTTGGAAGAACTTATCACTGTTGTTTCGTTCAAAATTTATTGACAATTTAGTAATTTATCCATGTCTATTTACACTACTGCCAGTCTACTGCAAAACCGTTCCGAAATATGACGTTACAATAGAGCTGATAGTACCACAGTAATTTTGTTCAGTGCACTATTGTGACGTCATGATGATTGTACTGTCAGTAAAAAGGAAACACACTTTCAAATGACAGATCATAAATATAGGTAATTTTAACAATTTCCTATTGACGGTTACACTTGTAATTAATAATGTGCGCACATTTTTATGATTCTTTAATGAATTATATATATATATATATATATATCTGAATTATATCTTTATATAAATTACTATCAAAGTAACTTAAATGTATCATAAATGTCATCCAGCATAACTGCAATATTTCTCTTTTCTTAATTATTTAAAACCGTCGAAATTCAATTACCTACGACTAATGCATCGAAGTCGTATTACTCAAAGATGCAGCAGAACTTATATTTAGTAGAAAAATATTATTTTCTGAAATAAATTACTAAAAGTCTTTTGACGAAAGTACCTCAAGTATCCTGCTTTCGTTCTCTTAGATAACGAGTTTACTTTAAGATAATCGAAGTTATCGAGTTAAAATAGAGGGGCAATAACCCGCATTAAAGGGTTACCGACAAAATCGATTGAGCCATCGACGATTGGTTGGTGTCATAAACTTTGCCAGGATTTCCGTAGGAAATAAGGGGGCGGTTCGAGAGAGAAGACAGCATGGGAATAGGGCGCCCTTTTATCGTGCTCGTATTTTTTCGTAATAACACGTTCCTCTTTCCTTCGTCTCCTAAATTGCGGTTTGCAGCATCCAAAGTAGGCTACGTAGAAATTTTATCGCCGCGCGAAAAGAAGGGAGATTTTATTATATAAAAGTCTCACAATCGCAGAATAATATTTCGTTGCCATTACTCGCGGAATATCGTTATTTCTTTTTCAATACGAAATGAGCTTCTCAAAGTAATGACGATGAGTATTGACATACTCTAGTAAAAAAATTAATGAGAAAAATTAATGCGCTATTCACATCATGCAAATATACGAAAAGAATGATTTTGCTTACGTATCTAAAAATTTAACTATAGATACAGATTTGTGTGAAAATAATTTTATTAAATCATTAAAATAATTATATAAAACACTTAAATGTTGTTTACGATGTAACAGAAAATTTTAATAGTCTAGCAATTAATTTTAGTATCTTATGTAATTATATAAATTATATATATATATATATTTTTTATGATATAAATAAAATTATTTTCAGATTTGTATCTAGCTAAATTTTTTTAATATTTTAGATCGTTCTTTCTGTGTAATAATAAAAAAAAACATTAAAATAACCTCTTAATGTAGCAGACATTATTACATTAACAGATTATTTATAACCAAATCAAGAATGATATATTATATTCTTTCTATAAATTAAATTAAAAAAATTTAAATAAATTGATTCTAAACCAGTTTTATTTCGATGCTTTAGACAACCGATCTCTAAGCGATCTCTGATATTTTCGTTCCATCGTCTACACTCATCGCACAGTTCGCAAAAAAATAACACATCTTCGTCGGGCGGTGTCTCAGATATTTAATTACTTCCTTTTACGAAAATTCCACATGCCGGCAAAAACGATCTGCAAATATTCTTATTTTGTTCGTATTTTAGCAAACGTGGTGAGATGGCACTTGATGGTCACGTTACAATACAATTTACATCTGCAGCATACTCGTCGTACAATTTAAATAAAGCGCATCTTCGTGGACACGTCATGAATATAAAGTACTTCCTGAAAATCGGCATAGTGCATGCAGACTGTAGAGGAATGTATATTTTCGTTGAGACAATTCTTAAGATGAAAATCTACACGGTCACAAAACTCCGAACTTCGAATTGTTCCGCGATATGTAAATTTATGCCGCACTACGAAACAGAAATAGTTTATACCGAATTATAGAATATTTATGAGAAAATTTAACATAAATGACTTTTTTAAAGTAGCTAGCTATTTCACAACTATTTTGCTAAAAAGAAAAGAAGTTCTCGATTTCTATCAAGTAAGATATTGTAAATTTTTATTCACCAATGCAAAATTGAGAATTATATGTAAAAAATAAATCGCAATTAGTTAATTTCTCATTAAAAAATAACTTATTAATATCTTTCTGTCTGTGATATTTTGCAACATCGCATCCGTCGCGTTGCAATATGATAATAAATGCAGAATATAGCACCAATAAATATTTTAGGAAGACGTCGATAATATTTAAAGACTATTCTATATTTTAGAATTTTTCAAATCAAAATTCTTTTAGGATTTTAAATGAAATGTTTTAGAGCCAATCTTATTAAAATGAGACGTTTAGCAGCTTCAATTAGGATTAATAATCATATGTCACGATATACAAAATCTGCACAAAAAGAATGGCTTTGTTAAAGTATTCCAAAAGATTTAGTTAAATACAAATCTAAAAAAATTTTGTTTAGATTCAAATGAATCGAAATAATTACGTAAAACGCTCAAACTGTTTGCTACAATATTAACATTTTTTGCTGCATTGTTAATAACATGTTTTGAATAAATTTTTGATGATTCAACAAAATTATTTTCGGATCTATTTGGCTAAATTTTTAGATATTTCAGCAAAATCATTCTTTTTGTATATAAAAAACTATATCAGCCCTTGCCGCAGATCCGTAATTATGTTACCACATCGATCCTAATTTTGGACGTTGGACTGTCTTGCACGCCAATTGGTAAAAGTAAGCCCTTTTAGCAAAAAAAGAATTGAACGAGGAAACAGATGATGTTATACCAATATACACACCAGTGTAGACAATTACGCACGTAACAGCCGCGTAATAATGCGGAATCGAACCCGTTTTGAGAGCAAGTCTGCGACGGCTCTGACCGTTACGTCAGATCGGAGAATCGGATGGACCAACCGACCAACCAGAAAAAATAATCGGGAGGTGCGCGGATCGCGGAGCAGGGCGTGTTCCTTGTCGTTTCAGTGAAAGTAATCGCACACATCCCGAACCGGGCATTTCGTATAAAAACGCTGACTGATCGGACTGATGGCACACTCGATCCAAAACTACCACGAGAAACAATGAAGTGCTTCGCGGTAAGTCAAAGGAATTTCTTATGCATACGCATAAGCTAGTATACAAAGACGTTTATTCATTATCGTACTCTCTAAACTTCTTGAAGTGAAATTCACTTCAAAGGAAAATAATCTCATTCCAAAAGTGTGAAATCTCACCCCAAAGAGTGAAAATCTGTTTCTCTTATTCAAGAGTGCAAATATTTCACTCTTTTTCAATAGTGAAAATATTTTAACTCTTTTAGAGTGAGATTTTACTCCAAAAAATTTAGAGAGTACATGTATCCTCTTTAATAATATTTTCTATTGCTATTCAGTTAATTTAGAATTGCTAAATTTCTGGCTTTATCATTATAAATGAGATTGCGTTAAAATTATGTATATATATATAATTAACAAATAATTAAATACATAATATGTAATTGTATATTAAATACATAATTTGCTTCAATTGATAATTAAATTAACGAAAATCTATCGAAACTTGTTCAATTCGAACGCTACCTCTGATTTCAAAAAATTGTTTCATGATGCTTTAAAAACTGTATTGATCTATTCTTTTTCTTTTTTAAAATTGTACAGATTCTGCTGTTGGCAACCGCCGTGTTGGCGGCCGAGAAGTCGGGAGACCCGAAGAATCACGGCAAACGGAGTGTGGTGGGTGATCATGGTTACGGTCTAGGCGGTGTCACGAGTTACGGTTTAGGCGGTATCTCAGGTTACGGTTTAGGCGGTATCTCAGGTTACGGTCTAGGATATGGTCTGGGAGGATACTCGACTGGACTCGGCACGAAGGTACTCGGGTCGGGACTCTCAGGAATCGTCGCGGGTAACAACCTCGCTTCCGCCTATGCTTCTGGACTAGGATATGGTTTAGGAGGATACTACGGAGGTTACAGTAACCCTTCTTACCTCATCGGTGCTGGTCACGCCACCGGATTCAATGCATTACCCTTGGCGCATGGTAAAACTGAGCGCATCACCGGTCTTACTGTACATCGCGAAGTCCAAGTGCCAATTGCGGTGCCGCATGCAGTTCCAGTCGAAGTAACCAAACCCGTACCCGTCGCACAACCCGTACCTTACAAAGTAGACCGTCCCTATCCCGTTCCAGTAGCGCAACCAGTACCTGTCCCTGTCACTCGACATGTACCCGTAAAAGTTGACCGTCCCTACCTCGTTCCGTATGCGCGAACCGTCGAAGTACGCGTACCACAACCAGTACCAGTACCAGTATCGCAGCCGGTACCCGTTGCAGTTCCCGTCACGAAACACGTGCCGGTTTCCGTGCCATCTGCCATCGCAGTCGCACCATCTACCTTCGCATCATCAGCTCTTGGCTCCGCGACTATTGCCTCCGGAATTGCGCCCGCTGAATACGTCGGTCTAGGATCCGGCAGTCTGGGAACCATTTCGTCTGGTACGGCTCTGGGTACCGGACTGACTACCGGTCATCTTGCCAGTGGCTTGGACAGCGGCATCATCTCAAGCGGTTTCACCAGCGGTCTCGCTAGTGGTGCGGAACATATTGGACTCAGCAGCGGCGTGGAGCATGTTGGACTCAGCAGCGGCTTGGAGCATGTTGGATTCAGCAACGTACACCCAACTGGATACACCAACATTGTACACCCAACTGGGTATACATTGGGATCTACCGGCGCGTTTGTGGCGTCTCACGATGCTCTCAATGGCGCATATCCATTGAAGAAGTGGTAAACTCAATTCGACAACTCGATTGGACGTGTGTCTTTTAAAGCGCTTCTCGGGCGTAATTTATCGAACGTGCACAAATACCAATTGTATTATGTACGTTTTCGAATAAATTTATTTTTATACACATTATCTCACACGATCGTTTAACTGTATTATGTGCAGTTATACCACGGCTTTCTTTTACTTTGAGATAACCACTTGGATCCTCAATATTCTTTAATGTTTTACATCTTTTTAAATAATTTGCTTGCCAGAGATCAAAACAATTATCTTCTTTACACAATTTCTCTTATCTGTCAATATGTTTTTGATGTAAGTTTGTTTTATTTTCTAAAACAAACTCCGGTCTACACTTCTCTAGTCTAATACATAATTTAGATATACCCTTTGTAAATCTCATTGAAAATAAAATTTTAAAAAAATGAAAAAAAGAGTATTTAAAAAATATCCTGTATAATAAAATGAGGAAAGGAAGAATATTGTATCGAATAATCTAAGAATAACATTATACAACAGTATAACATTTACAACAGTAAATTGTATATAAGATCAAAGTCCGAGTAAAAATTATTATTAAAAATTTTAAGGAGCTGCCTATCAAAAGCAATTGCTCGTGATGCAATTTCTGTGAAAACGTCTATAAAAATTTTTTTTCAATAATAATCTTATTGGACTACGTTTATATGAACACAACCAATAGGAAAAAGAGCCTAGAACGATCAAGCTCAATTTGATGCTTGAATAATTCTTAAATTAATGCTTAAATAATTTTTTAATTGGATGCTTAAATAAACTGTGTGTGTGTGTATGTGTGTGTGTGTGTGTGTGTTTTGTGTGTGAATTTATATATTATATATCAACTTCTGCCAAACTGCTGAATTAATTTATCGGTTTTAAAGCCTTATACTGATAAAGAATTATCGTAGTACTATCAGAAATTAAATTGTTTAGCAATTTAATAATTTGTTCTCATAGACTTCTTAGAAAGATCTTAATAACATTGATAAAAAAAAAAAAGTTAATAAAAGTAATAAAAAAAAGTTTTTAAGAAATCTCTTCTAAATCTCTGTGTTTGTTCGTCAAATATAAAATTATAACATTCATATCAAATTGCATACATTCATAAAAATTATGGATTTCATCGACAAAACGAAAAAGGTATTAAATGGAAAACGTTGGAGGTAATGTATGTCACCCAACCCCCCTCCCCCCTCTCATCAGGGTCAAAATAGAGATGTCTCTGCAAATACATGACACATACAATGAAATCGATACAATTGACTATAGCAGCATTTTGCGAAGTAGAGGAATGACGTCACGAAGTTTCTTTCACGTCACACGAGGCTTGCAAACTGAACACAAATCAGAACTTTGTGAACAGACAATGCGCAAATCGATTTATTAGTTAAAACCGAATAAAAAAATTGATCGTACTTATTGCATCAGAGAAAATATTCCAATTAGCTTTACATTTTTCTATTGAAACTTAAATCTTTTACGTTTATAAGATAAAAATAAATTATATAATATATATAATATAAAATAATAATATAAAATAATACAAAATTTATACATTATTATGCAAATTATTATATATAAATCGTTACTGCTTTTTTATGTAACAATATAAAAAATACTTTTTTTGTTAAGAAATACATTAGATTTAATAAATTTAATGTAATAATCATTTAACATAAATTTTAATTGTAAAATAATAAAAAATAAATTCTTTTATTCACAAAAATGATATTAAAAAAAAATAATACATATAAATTATATAATGTATTTTGATACGTAAATAGAGTGTAAACTTATGTAAAATTTTCACGATTCTCTTATAAATACGCTCAGAAAAAAATTGTTAACTTAACTAAATGCGTTTAGTTCGTAGTGATTTAGTTCAAGTATTTATATATTTAAGTTAAATATACGTAAGTTATAAACAAAATTTTGTAATGTAAGACATGTTATTTCTTTGAATTATCAAGTATTTGTTAATTCAAATATTTATTTACTTGAATTATTTGTTTACAGCCTGTAATCGCTGCATTTGATAATAAACTAATATTTTTTTAAATCAGCAACTTTTTCTCAGTGTAGTAAAAATTAGAAATAATTATTGTTAAAGTCTCTATATAAATAATATAAGTAAAATATCTATTCTTCCTACAAATAATAATAATAAATTAGTAATAACGTTTTCGTTTAAGAATGAAATAATCCGTGATACACAAGAAGTGGACATTACCATTTGAAGCTTTCAAGATTTCTGATTTGCTTTCTTTAGCTTGAGTTAATTATTATTCTTTTTTGCAATATTAGGATATTTATATTAATTTTAACCAAACTTTCAGATATTATTTTTAAAAATTTCGCATTCTACATCAAGTTTGTTTTCTGCTCAAGGAATTTTATCGGTTTTTAAGTATTAACTACAATCGCAACGGTTGATAAGAGACTGTAACATCGATATTATACCAGTATTATTTATCAGGTATCTACTATACCGACATAACTATTAATTACTATACCGACACACTATTAATAAGAAGGAATCCTTCTTATCAATGACAAAATTCAATAATTGAAATAACATCGTAAAACAAAAGCATAGAGTCTTGCATAATGTATAATATATAATGCATAAGAAAATATCGAAGTCCTCATTTCTTTTCTTTTCTTTTCATAAAATAAAAGACTCTGATTCGTTGATTTTTTTATGCGTTATGCGTTATACAAAGGTCTGTGTTTCAGCCTTAATAATTAAAAAAGAAATTATTATGACTTACAGTAGATGAACATATTTGGAATGCAATTGAATAATTCCAAACTCACCTGAAACAATAAAAAAATCAATGCTATTTATAATATTCTTCAAGTAGTTGTTATAAAAATAAAACTATATCAGAAGCTGTATCAAAGCAAGCATTTATAACAATTTTATCTTTAGATATGTAAATAGCTAAGACTCTTTATTTCACTTATAAACAAATTCGCGCAATCTTTTTAATTTTCAGCAAAAAGTAGTCCTGCATAAATTAAAAAATGGAGCGAGAATATAGGACGGTTTCTGCATATTACACATTATGTTATAAATATTAACGAATCTTCCTATTTCCGACAATGAAATTAACTGCTACAGAAAATAAGTATGCGATATATTGACAGATCGTCATTCTAATTTATTATATTTTATTGCACGATTTATGTCTTGTTTGTGTATATTGATTTATCTGATACGCTCCAGGATGTTCGATCAAGTAAATAGATGATTTTACCTATTCGTATAAAATTGCGTACAGAGCGATAGTTTTTCCGTTTACAGCGAAACGAATGTTGAATAAAAAAGCATCTCAATCGCTAACCATAAATGAAAAAAAAATATTTTTGTACATTCTATTTATTTTAAAACAATTTTGCCCAACAAACGAAAAATATTACTGCAAAATGTTTTCACTACAACACATCGTTTTATTTGCATCAATGTAGTATTGAATACAATGTTCCATTGCAAAACTTTTTCTTTTTTGCAAAATTAAGAGAACATAATGAAAAAATTAATTGTTAATTTGCTCTATATATTTTCCATTTGGTATTTATATTCTAATTGCCTAAAAAATATTCTTAATAAAAACGGATCGTTTTGTCAAGATTATACAAATGCATTTATCCTGTGCCGTGATTTACTTTGAAGTCTGTGTAAACCGTATTATTTAATTTCAAGGATCAAAGCCGAGCGATTTCGTTTGCGTCAACGTAATGCACGCCCAATTTTCATACAACAACACGCATCTAACTTCCGTACAGCAATGATTTTATACGTAGAAATTAATTTTCCTGTTCAACTACAAAGTGACGCATGTAGTGAAAAACGAAGTAATATTAACTCCTTCAACTACAGCTATGAAAACTAAACCCAAGTTCTAAAACAGTCTATTTGAAAGACAGAATGCAAGTGAACCTTCAACTTACAGTGACAGAAGAAATGATTGACAGAAGAAAGTTCAAAGTTGTTTTATTTATAATTTAGAACTTTGTAATATCAATCATATAAATTATATAATTATCCAGAAATTTTCGCTTTGGGTCCAAATCACCTGTTGTTATAATTCAAAATAATATATACTAACTTAATTTTCTTATATTTCTCAAGTAGCATTTAAAATCTTTTCATCAAAAGTTATATCCATAACAAATATAATATCATAAATTTATTAAATTTTATGTAATAACCTAAAATTTATTTTTATCTTTTTGATAGAAAACATAATTCATTTTTCACTTTATTAATTATTGCCATAATATTAATATTAACAATAAATTAGTAAGTAAAACCAAGAAAATATAATGTTAAGTTCTCAAATATCCTCGTAAGACCCTTACTAAAACAGACTCCTGAGCAAGATCTAGGTCAGATATATTGACATTATCACGTACCCCGTGTGTACAAGAGGAATCCCAGAGGATCATTTCGCATCTAACACCCCTTCCGGCTATCTAACAAAACACTTTATTATGATCACGATAAGATAAATCACCAAAAACATAAGTATAACTTCAAATAATTAATTACTTATAAATAACAATTGACGACATTCTTCCTAATTCAATAATTGTTGTTGAAACGAAACTATAGTTGACTCATTTTCGATTGTGGACGTATCCATTGACCATAGATACATGCCAATTTGACTTATTAATCGAAATCACCCATTGTGACAATATTAACTATCTTCATCTAATATGTCATATCCTCGATGACCATATCTCACAAGTTTAATGCTTATTAGAATATCCCATTAAGTACTAAAACTGTAATGTGAGTGCGTTATTAAACTCTGATCTCGATGTCTCATAAATCTGAATAGGTTTTAAAGTTAAAGTAAAAATCAACATGTAAAGGGAATAAAAACGTCTTTGGCAAATTCTGCAAAACAGCTTAAGGCGTCACGAATATGTATCAACTTTTACATATATTTAAAGTTATTTAAAGTTAGAGCGTGCAAACGTTGCACGCTTTCTTTATACAAATACCATCGCGTACCATCGACGCAATAAGAATTCTCGAAATTCCTCTCAACCGTCTTCGCCTTACCAAGGATTCCTGAATGCCATGAGTAACTT